CCCTACCCTGGTGGTCTTCAAGAGGAGGTTAGATGAGTACCTAGCTGGAGTCATCTAGACCCAGCTCTCTTTCCTGCTTATGCAGGAGGTCGGACTCGATCTATTGAGGTCCCTTCCGACCCTAACGTCTATGAACCATAAGAGCTTGGAAGTTTAGCTACTTTAAAGCGTCACCAAAAGTTTTAAAACACCTCTCCAGCCAAAAACTGAACTAGGAAAAATTAAGCAATATTCAGAAGGTAGGAAGGGTAGATATTAGAATAGGAATAGAACCACATTCACACCATATTGTCTGTCTAGCCCCACTTTAAAGTTAAGTTTTCACACTACAGTTTATTATAACTGCACTATGAATTATTGCCTACTCTTCTGAAAGGTGACCAAAGTAAAGAGAATGACGTGATGACAGCCTGCTCGCTGAAGTCCACATCTTCGTAGCAAGACAAAAACCCCTCAAATTTCGAGCAAAAACCTGACGAAGGGTTTTTGAACCTGAAAGCTTGCTTAATAAATTGTTTTCCAACTATTTAAGTTAGTCTAAGTAAAATCTATAGACACCAAAAACCCTGCAACTGGAAATCCAGAGGGATCCCAAATTAATTTTCGTCTTCTCCTGCTAGCTGGCATAAGCAACGCAATATCCAGAAAAGGATATTTTTATTACTGAATCTCAAGAGAAAAGCCACCTTACCTCCTAGTGTTGCTGAAAAACTGGATGACTGCGAAAACTGATGTTCTATAAATTTTGGCAGGAATGTAGCAAAGCCAGTAGCAATTAAAGCTTCTGTAGCAGTGGCTACTATTAAACACATCAAGACAGGATTTCTCAGCAGTATCTGAGAAGGGGAAAAAAGTTAGTAAATATTCTGTGCATTTTTTTTTAAACTGTAGTAGCATATTGTTGTTGGATGTGCATTGGCTTTGCTGGTTACAAGCCCCAGCACATTTCAACACAGCCAGCACTATTAAAGTTTGCTTACCCATTTAGTTTTTAAAAAACAGGTCTTGGGTATGAATAAGACAGCCTGAAATTCTCAACAGCACTGAAGTTGTTTAATAAAAATACCAGTATAGAAGAAAAGTAAACAAAAATTGCATCAAGTACTCCACCCACATGTATAACAGTCTCTCTCAAAGTGAGTGCTATTATGCAGAAAGCTGCTGATTTACATTGGTTAATTGTTTCTTACCAAAAGAGCCAGTGGAAAGTCTTTAAAACTTTTTCCAATATTTTTGCCTTCAACAAGTTCCTTACTTCCATCATTATGAGTCTCAGAGATTTTTTCAGCCTGTATTTTTGCTGTACCTGAAGAACAAGTTGCAAAAAAGTGAAATGCTATGAAAGTGAGTAAAGCACATTAAGTTATAATGCTTCAACCATGTGCTTTAATCATCCGTACTTAGCCATTATGTCCATTTTATATGGTACACTGTAAACACAAACTAAATCACTTGTCTAACACCGTAAGTCAATTAGGAAAAACCATCTGCAGTCCACTACACTACCCACAAGTCTAGTCTCCCACCCGTCATCCCAGTAGCATTTAACATTTACCTGGCAAGTGCTTTGGAAAGCATGAAAACGGTATTATCAGAAGCCATGTTGCGAAACTGCACAAGAGAAATGCTATCCACCAAGCCCCAAGCCAACGTGGGTCATCTGGATCAATCTCTGCACTAGAAAAGTTGAGAGGCAGGTTTTAATGCCCCAAATTGTTTAATACAATATTAAACAACTTTTGCTATATTAGTCAAGTCACAAAACAGAGAAAAGGCTTCCCGTTACACTAAGCTACACTTTCTTCTCGCTCCTCAAGGTGTTCCAATCTATTAAAATTCTATTGTTTAGAGTTTGTAGTCAGTTGAAGCATTGCATTGATTAGGGATAATATACTATGTACTAAGTCAATAGAGAGGCTTTTGGGCAGAATGCATGTGAACAGTAAAATTCAGACAAAAACAGAACCAAGTCATATTCAGAGTTATATTATATTGCACATTTTAATCCTATTTAGGTGGTTATAGCAATTTTTTTTTTGCTATCGCTAAATTGTATCCAAATCAAAAGAATCTGGTTATAAATTTTGGCCACCAATTTTGGCTTTTCCATTCGTTCTGCACTTCTTAAAATGCTACTTGAACTCTACCAATTTAGGAGCATAGATATTACTGTTACAGCAGATCAGTGTCTTATGAGATGGAAGTAAAGTGAGTCTGCAACAGTATATCTATTGCAAAGGCTCTTTCCCAAGGCCTGAAGAATCTGAGAAGCAGGATAGAGAGGCTAGAGCAAGATAAAGAGTCTCAAACTCCCTTGCCTCTGCTCTGCCAGGCCAGATCTGCATTACAGGGAGCCTTGCAGCCCAAATTCAGCCTGTTGTTGGAGGTGGGCTTGAGTGGCAGCAGCATTAACCACTGCAAAGATTAATGCCCCCGTCTCTTGTCCCTTCACCACAAAGGCAGGTCTTTAACAAGGCACCATATATCAGAACTCAGAGCAGACTGAGACCCTTGCTCATCCTACCCTTCTAGGACGCCCTTGCCTAGAGGGAGACTAAGAAATGTAACTGGATATACAATCATAGCAAAGTAGGGGTGAAAAGGACCTCATGAGGTCATTTAATCCAGCCCCATGCTCAAAAATAGGATCATCCCCACCTAAACCATCCAAGTCAAGTATCCATCTAACTCACCTTACAAAAGTTTCCAGGGATGGAGATACTGATTTGAGTAGTTCTAATGCTTGACCATCCTCAAGAGCAGAACATTTTTTCCTGATCTCCACCCTAAAGTTTCTATTGCAGCTTGAGACCACTGGTTGCTAGGCCTGTCCACTAGGGCCACAGACATTTCCATCTTCTCTAAATATCCTTCAGGTATTTGAAGACTGTCAAACCCCCCCTGTCCCCCAAATCTCCTTTTCCTGGCTAAATAACTCTAGTTCTTTCACACTTTCTTCACAAGTCAGGCTTCCAAGGAGGCATGACATCCTGCAACACCCCTCTGGAATTAAACAAGTAGTATCCAACTTTCAGCAACAAATCCAGGAGTGAGGCAAGTGCAGTGCGCCCATACTCCCCCCCTCATTTTTCTGCCATGCCACATACGCACAGAGAATTATAAGCTCACCACCTAGTCAATGCAAGCTCCTGCCACAGCTCTGCATACACACGCTGACTGGAGTTAGGTCTGGTTAGACCCACCACTGTTGTATGACTCCAGAACCCAGGATACTGTTGCTACTTGTCCCTTCTTTCCCCTCCCCTTACCTTACCTTTCAATTCAGCAAAGCAATGGGGAGGTGAGGGGAAAGAGGGGAGAGAGCAAGGGTGAAGGCAAAACAGCACTGGCGTTCACCTCCAGGTTTTGGAGCTGTGCCAAAGCCATTGAACTGAGGAACTCACTAAGCCCATGGAGCTCTGGCAGCAGCTTGCACCAATCAGCTGGAGAGCTCCGTGCATGTGTCCCAGGCAAAAGGGGAGAGTGCAACCACACTGCTGCACCCCCTTGGACTCACCTTTGTCAGCTTTTCACATCATATGTAAAGCCCATGAACAGAAAGGGTTAAAAGTCCAAACATGGTAGTCTCTTTAGATGTTCTAGATGGTTGTGGGCTTACTGACAAAAAGCAGTAATTGCCACTTCTAAAACCTAGAACTAGATTTATATTTTGGAAAATTCTACAGCAGATCACTTATCTCTGTTCAAGTTTCCTCTTGAAAGCCATTATGGGAGACAGCTTTTTTTGAGACCATAAACACTGTTAGGCGTCAAGTGTTTCTGAAGACATTAACTATATGGGCCAGAACCATTTTCCCTTCCTTATGGGGAAAAGTCTGCTGCTCAGCAAGATGCCAGGAAGCATTTAAGAATTGTGTACTATTATTAAAAAAAATAAAAATATGTATATTAATATTGGCTTGCCTTTCCCGAAGATGCACGTCAATGTAGATGTTCAGCAGCTGCCCTCCTAATACATAGCCAATAGCAGGACCCAGCAGTGACATGGCATAGCCAATTCCTAAGTAGGAGAACAAAAACAAAACAAAAAAGCCAAACAAACCATTTGAGTCAATCACCACCAGGATTTTGAAGTTAATTTAAAGAAGTAAGCAAGCTTATTTGAATAGATAGTAAGGTTTAAAATAGAAAGTTACAGTATTTTCCATGGTATTTGCAAACAAGTTCACATTTACTGCTTTCAGCATAATTACATGCACAGGATGCAGGGAACAACCACCTTCCCCCCTTTTTTAATTTTATTTTAATTTTTATTTTTTTTAATCAAAAGAACCATAGAAGTGTCTGATATTTGAGAGAGTAGTTTACAGGAACTACTTCATGCTTTGCTTTCACTTTGGCTTTGAGGAAGACTGAAGTCAGGGTACCACAGAGCTTAAACAATGTCTCTGTAAAAATAACTTCCTGACTCAAAAGATTAGTAATGAAATTGAGTAACTTCCGCATTCTTGCTGTTGAAAAGATTTAAGTATTTTTGCTTCAGGCCCCAGGCACATATTATAGTTATAGTGCAATTAACATGCTAAGTGCTACATGTTTAGCTAGTTTAAGGAACCAATGGCAAACAAGCCACAGATTCCACAAGTTTTGTGGAATATCCATGTGGCTTAGTTATATGGCTGCATAAAACAGACCGGTGTGATATCCCCTCATGCCAGCAAGGGCAAATCTGCTTTATCCTTGCAACTGAGATGGACCCTTTCAACATTGGGACTGGGAGCTGCTGGAAAAGCAGGTTGCAAGGTTATCCATAGGAACCAAAACGTCTCCCCCTGACCTGCTGGGAACCTTGAGACCCCAGCACCTGGCTTCTTTTCCCAGCACACTAGGACCTTTAGAACTGTGCATACAGCTCAGCTGTATATGCCAGGGTTTTAGCCCTCCCAGTGCAGAGCACTCTTGGGATTCAGGTTTCTCAGCCCCAAAGTCCTGGCAAAGGAGACAGTGGGTTTGTAGCCAAGGATACTGGTACTGAAAAATTGACTCCCTGACCAGCACTTGAAAACCTATACCTCAAGCTGGTAGTCATGCAATTGGGATGATCCCCAATCCCCATAATTGCACCTCCTGCTATGCACATGTGGCATGGAAAGAGGTACAATTACAGAGATCCAATGCCCAATCCAGCCCATTAAGATGAAGTTCCAGCATCCCTCATTTACTCTACACATGACCTCAGGTATCAGGCTAGCTGCAAAGCCTCCAATTTTCTGGAAACAAGACAGGCTCCTCATTCAATAAAGTTTAGATAGAGAGAAAGCTAATGACCTCAGAGTCAGAGGACAGCTGCCATTGGTTTCACAGAAGCTAGTCCTTCACAAGACATTGGTATTGTGTTATATCTAGTAGATACAAGATAAAGTTTATGAATATTGGGTCACTTTGGCCTCTGGGCTTCTAAGGTGCAGAATTTACTCATCTCACCTTAGGTCATAATTAAGGACCTACCAGAATTGTGATTTTGAAAAGTAGGCAATGCCCACAAATAAAGGGAGGAAAAAAGAGACACCCCCCATTTAAAAATGCTTTGGCCTGGTTGTGTAGCCTGCCAGGGGTGGGGGTGCTGCTCACATGATCAGAAGCCCAATATGGCCAATGCCCCTGCCCCTCACCACTGATAGACTCTAAGGGCTGCCTGTCATATGGTCCCCATCCTTCACTGGTGATTGGAGGGGTGGACTGCAAAAAATAGGTAGCCCATCAGCAGCAAGGGGCAGGTCAACAGGGTCCCTCTGCCTGCGTTTTCCCTATGAAATTGGCCTGCAACCACCTCAAGTTTGGTAGGGCCCTAGTCATAGTTCACAGTTGTCAGTAGATGCTTGGAGAAAGTCTAGCTAGTTCCCATTTCAGAAAGAGTGGGCCATTGTTTTCTATGCATTAAATGGTCTGAATGTTTATAGTAGGAAAAGCATAGTTCTTAAGTACATTAGGATGTGTTATAACATACCAGTAGGGGAAAAATTACTATTTGTACCACCCTTCTTGTTCTGTTGTGTCATAATGCAAAAAAGCAATACAATCTGCAAAAGTAAACCTCTACACAAATATATGTCAGCTTTAAACAGACACATACAGAGTACTCCAATATATACAATTTGGCCCAATCACAAGTTCAATTAATTTTACTGGGGATAATTGCACCACCTCTGGAGGGAGTCTGTTCTTGGCCTTGGGGGCTTGGATAGTCAAGACATTTTTCTTTATGTCCAGCCTAAACTAGTCTTACAGGAGTTTCTGACCACTGGATGTTGTCATCCCCTGGTGTGCTCTGGTGAACAGGTGTTCCCCCAGATTCTGATACATACCCCTTATGTACTTATAGGCTGCCAAGTCACCCCTGAGCCTGCGCTCCCCCAGGCTGAAGAGTCCCATAGCTCACAGCCTCTCTTCATAAGACCTATTCTCTTGCTCTCTGATCATGCATGTAGTTCTCCTCTGGACTCCCAAGCTTCTCCACATCTTTCCTGAACTGTAGAGCCCAGAATTGGATGCAGTACTCCAGCTGTGGCTTCACCAAGGCCAAGTACAGCAGGAGGATAACATCCTGGGTCTTGCTCTAGATGCAAGCCAGAGTTTGTTTGCTTTGCCAGCTCCAGTATCACGTTGGTGGCTCATATTAATCTTAGGGTCAATCATAGTTTCTAGGGTCGGAAGGGACCTGGGCAGATCATCTAGTCCGACCCCCTG